AAATTTGATGAATTTTTCCCACATTTTCAGTGTACCGCTTTTTTTTCGGGTGAGTGTATTACAATAAACAGATATTTATTACAATAAATAAATTATATTTTTCTTTTTTTTATTGCACATACGTATATGTAAATTATACTATGTAAAGTTAAATAAGAAACATTTTAAGTAAAATTATTGAAATAAAAATGTTTGTTTTTATTTAATAATATTGAATAATAAATTATTCTTTTATTGCACATACGTATATGTAAAATACAAAGATAAATGAAAAACATTTTAAATGCAGCAAAGTTATAAAAATACAAATATTTGTTTTTGCTTAATATAGAATAATATTGCAAATTGATATAAAGATAATTTAATTATAAGATGATTAAGTAAAATAAAATAATTCGTAAACCAAATAATTATCAAACCAAATAATAAAGAGTAGTGGAAAAATTAAAGAATTGAATGAATTAATGGAAATGAAACCCAACATTTTCGAGATTTCTTATAATATGGAAATACTATATTTTACTGTTATTAAGTCTATTGGCCAAATCTCATTTTCATCTAAAATTGCATGGCTAATAAAAATGTTGTGGACTCGCCTACAGTCGAGTCTGGGAAGGGGTCGCGCGAGTGAAGTACGAGAGAGAACAAAAGAGACAAAAAAGATAGGACGGACTTTTTTAGAGACTTTTTGATTATTAGTTTCCACTTGATCTAATGTATTTTATGTGTGACTACAATAAATAACATTTCAAGTTATAACATATTGGCGACGAGGATAAACATTGATACAGACGGAAAATAAATCCAAGAAAGAGAAATCACGGTCTAAGAAATAATATAACCTAGAAATGACAGACGTAACGGCAAAGACAGTCGTAGGAACCGTAGGATCGGTTTCCGAGTTCGTACCAGGTTCGGCAGATTCGTGGGAAGTATACCGTGAACAATTAGGATTTTATTTTGAGGCGAACGACATCACTTCAGAAAACAAGAAAAAGGCAGTTTTTTA